GTACTGGATTATGCAAGTTAAAAACTTATGTATCAATAGCTTTCCTGCTTCTTTCGCTTAAATCGCTACATTTAATCGAGAGATCGCCATTTTATTTAAAAACTCGGAATATTCACTACAGCTTATGTTATATCTGTTTATGTTGTAAATGGAAGAAAATGTGATTAACCGTGAATTTCTCGATTTTAGCTTTCTTTAAAATTTCTGTGAAAGTAAAACTTAATAGTGATTGATAACCAACTGAAGCATTATCAGAGTATTAGATTTGACGCTCAATTGTTTCCGGGATGACAGAAAATTAGTGAAGAAAAGTTTACTCAGCTCACATAGATACATTTTTACACGAAATCACTTCCATCTTATCATTATCGAATTAAATCAGCAGATCGTTCCTTTTCAGCAATGACGAACGAATAGCAGATACACCAAATATGGAAGGCTAATAGAAGTACCAGTATAAACTGCTCGTTGCTCATCCTGAAAAATGTTTGTTGATCTAAAAAACAATAAAATTAATTTGATCATTTTGGTAAAACATCTATTTAGCAAGTCATAGATTTAAATTTACTTAGGTTTTCTGGATGATATTTACGAATTGTTGGGTTAGAAACATCATAACACAAATATCTAGACTGATAACTGCAAATGTTAGCTAAATGCTATGATTATAAGACGCTTTATTACAAAAATAAAATTATGAAATTTTAGTAATAAAAAAGAACCTTTGTGATATTGTATTGAGTTGCTGAGCATGAAAATCTTGCAGAATAACCGCAGTGACTGTTTGATCACTTGAGTAAATACTAGCGAGGGAGCGCAAGAGGCAGCTGAGTAGAGGAGATACTGGCAAAAGCAGAAAAGAGGAAATTAGCATTATTTATGAGGAAAAGTTTGAATGAGGAGTATGCATTTTACAGTCTATTACATTCTTCACGATAAATCATTCTAGTCTCACTACTAGATCCATCCGTTCTTTTCCTCTTTTGAACAGGCATGGAATTAACTATTAAGTCAACCAAAACATAATTTCAAATGACATGTGAGCAAAAATTGTTATAGAAATCTAGCGGACTGCCAAGAAGTCCAGAAAAGGTTTTTATTTGATATTACCAA